AGGATCCATCCCAAGAGAAATGTTATCTGTTAAAGTCATAAACAATGGTATTGCATGTCCTTTTTTCAATGGAAAGGGATTCCATTCAGTGTGGTACACCCTGTACTCTGTGCTTGGCCACATCACAGTCATTTTAACTGTTTTCATGTACCAAAAAGATGTCCCTCCTAACTGGGTCTATACACAATCAGACAAATTTTTCTTCTAATCCCTTGCATGCCAAGAGCTGAACATGTCCATCTAGGTAAAATGCAGAGCATTCCTCTAGCACTGTGCCTCAAACCTTCCACATGAAACTCATAAGCCTTTTCACTGAAAAGCTGATGAGTCTGTGCCATAGGGTATTGTGGGATCATGGCATTATACACTGACACACTGCTCTTGGGAGGAAGCTTTATTGGAATCTGGTGATTTCTATATGAGTTGACTTAGATGCTACCACACTAATTACTTTACCATGAGGAATTCCAGTCAATGTTATCTTTGGAAGATTAATATCAGCACTTTCTTACTGTGTTAGCTTTGTGTTGGCCAAGGTAATCCAGAGATGAGCTCGAGATGATTGTGCCCAAAGCAGTGTGAACTTCTGACAAAATACTTTGTGAGGAATTTTCTAATGCAGGAGGTGACTTTCTTGCTTCTAGGGTGGTACCAAAGAATTACCAGCATATCCTGACCTTGACATTTGCAGTGCAGGAGATCAATGACAACCCTCACATCCTGCCCAACCTCACCTTGGGCTTCCGCATCTATGACAGCTATTTCAGGGCCAAGTGGACATATCAGACCATCTTGCAACTGATATGCTCCACAGTGAAGTGAGTTCCTAACTACCAATGTGGCATCCAGGAACACTTGGCAGCAGCCATCAGGGGACAGGACCCCCAAATCTCCCTATACATTGCAACTCTCTTGGATATCTACAAGATTCCACAGCTGGGGAGCGTGTCATTACATCAATGTGGGCAATGGGAATGTAACATTTTCTTCACATTCACTTTGTTCTTACATGGGTGTGTTTGTGTTTTGGAAGTGGAGATTTGCATATTGGAAGTAACCATATTCTTTTTCTCCTTTGGATGTGGCAGAACATTGAAGGTGAAGCAAACACTGTGGGGAGAGGGGAATCCCTGCTAGGGCTTTGTTCCCTTTTGCACACTTGGATCTGAGACACCAGAGTCTGGGCAGAGGCTCAGGCTACATTCACAGGAACATCCATTTTGTATGCCACAGATACTCCTCATTTTCCTTCCTCCTTCTAGTCACCCCTAGGCAGAGCAGGTAAGGGCAGAGGTCTCCATTTCTTTCTCTCCTTGCACATCATTCTTCAATCACCTCCAGGTTGGATAACTAAACAGTTTCGGAGAAGGCAGAGTGTGTTGGGGATTAAAGAAGGTTTAGCACTCTTCTGAATATCATAGGCTTCATTTTCTTTTCAGTAGTTTGGGTGAACTATGCATTGCAGAGAGGTGGAAGATAGCATTTTTTTATCCAAATTATAGCTGTGGCCTCAAAAGGTTTTTGAATCCTTGGACATATTCAGGAATTTGAGGAAAAGGATATGAATGAGTAGATCTCTCTTTTGATATTTCCCTGTCTCATCTACAGATCTTAAGCTGAGCCTTATTCAGAACAGACTGGGTTTTTTTTGTGTCTGTTGGATGCTGCAATGTCTCCTCAATAAAGAATGGCCTAGATCAGATAAATGCTCATGGTGCAATGCAGGAAATACTTCTTGGAAACATCAGTTTTATCAATTTGTAGTAGTTGCTTTTTTTGAATATTATTCACTGCATAATCCACTGTCATTAAATTATTAAGTTATTCCATGGAAATTAAGATATGGATGAAATGGCTTCTCTGTGACCTCTTCATGACTAAAAGATGGATACTAGGAAACTGAGAGGGAGTGGGGGAACACTCACATATCAGATGAAGACTGAGGACCATCACATACATACTTTTTTGAGTATTTGTTCCATTTTGATGAGGCCTAAGATTATTACTTGGAAGTTGTGTGCTTGTCATACAAGTCTGTGGAAAGACATTCACACACACACGCACACACACACACACACACAGCGAGAGAGAGAGAGAGTAGGAAAAAAAACTTTATGATGTCACAGGGTGCCATATTGAAGACCCCTTTTCAGGGCCACATAGAGATGCCCCATGTGCCATGACATACTGCAGATTGCAGTATTTCAGTACTATTGAGAAAATTTCTGAGGTTATATATGCAAACATTTTGAAAACATCAAAGCTGCCTAAATAATTTATTATTTGACCCTTCTTCCTCTCCTTCTTATATCCCCTTACGTGATATATGGCTCTTCACCAGTGATGAACGATAAAAACCCAGGCCTTTCAATCTACAACATGACTCCAAGGGAGTCCCTTCAGTATGCAAGGATCCTCTCTTTGCTGCTGCATTTCAGGTGGACATGGATTGGGACATTTGTTACAGATAATGACACGGGGGAGTGATTCCTCCAGATGGTGGTTCCACTGTTTTCTGAGGGGAGTGTCTGTTTTGCCTTCATTGAAAAAAATCCCTGCATTTACTCTTGGCAGGGATATGAAGAAAATAATAGAGAAGTGGGCAAAAATACGAGATAATATTGTGGCCAGCACAGCCACTGTATTGGTGGCCAATGGAGAATCATATTCCATGGCATTTTTTAGATGGTTACCATAACTATCAGAACGAGAACCTGTGGCAAATACACCAATCGGTAAAGTAATAATTGTGACAGCTCAGGTTGGGCTCATGTCATTTGTCTTCCAAGGAAATAGGAACACAGACTTTTTGCATGGTGTTCTAACTTTCAGAATTCAGTCCAGTGAAGTCCCAGGATTTCAACAATTCCTTCATGGAAAAAACCCTTCCAGTCCAAAAGGAGATGGTTTTATTAAGACATTCTGGAAAAATGCTTTCAGTTGTGTATTCCCAGATCCAAATCTGGGCCATTTAGATAGGAATATGTGCACAGGGTATGAGAAGCTGAAACATCTTCCTGGAACATTTTTTGAAATGATTTTGACTGGCCATAGCTAGAATGTCTACAATGCTGTCTATGCAGTAGCCCATGCCTTGCATGCCATGTCTTCATCTGATTTGAGGAACAGAGGAATAGTGAGCAGAAGGAGACACATGTTTCAGAGTCAACTTCAGTGGCAGGTAGTGCCCTGAATAGCCTCATGTGAGAGATAGCAACAGCTGTGTAGATTACAAAAAACCTCAGAATAAGGCAGGGAAACTCATTCAGTTCATCTCTGAAGCAGATGATCAAGTACGTCTCTTCTTATACAAGCAACAAGATCCTAGAGTATATGAGTGTGTGCAAAATTATTTAAAATAGGCTCCTCTGCATAAAAATCTTTTCTAGAACGACTGGAAAATTGACTCAAACTTATGAAGCAATTAACTCTAACCTTTGAATGAGAGAAGTATCAGAGCTGAAACTCAATATTTATGGTATAAGGGGATCAAGGAAAAACAATAATAAGAATGGCAGCCACCCGGTGCAAGTATTCATATCCCTCTGTCTGCTTGATTTCACAGGTTTTCTAAGCTCTTTCCTTTTCCTTCCAGCTCCACCATTTTCTGAAGCTTCTTTCTTTTAACAACAGTGCTGTGGACAAGGTTTCTTTTAATGAGAATGAAGAATTGCTACCTGGTTTTGATGTGATCAATTGGATTGTCTCCTCAAACCAATCTGTTCGAGGAGTGAAAAGTGGGAGGATGGATGCTACAGCTGCTCCAGGCCAAGCATGCACCATCAGTCCAGATGCCATAACATGGAACAGCTGGTTTATTCAGGTTTTCTTCTTGCCAGACTGTCATAATGTGTATATTTGAATATGACTCAGTCTCTGTGGTGACACATTTTCTTTTGTTTGCCAATGATGGACCTAGAAAATACTGGAGAGCAAAACACATGAAGCAGTCAGTGAGACCCAATAAGTTTCCTCTCTAGTAAAAATGTACCACACTTCCTCTCATTACGTGTTCTTTTGTTATGTTTCTCCAACTTGAGAATGGGCTGAATTTTTTTTTTTTTTTTGGCCTCATTTTGTATAATGTTTTACCAAAATTGTCTTCGTAGTTGTGATGGAAAGAACCTGACATTAGAACATTTTGAACATGAAGATATGGAAATTGTCAGTTTTGTCCTTCATGGTGAAGTGATTTTGGTGTGTGGATCTCAAAAGTTCGTATTTGTCTGTTAAGGGTGCCTCCTCTTAATTTTTGAGAGGGTTCTAACCTTTAATAGCAATATGTCAGGAAGCCAGGGCTCCATGGCCCTTTTCTTTTTGGCTAGGACATATAAGTGACCCTTTCATTACGTTCTTTTTTAATTTTATTGTTCATAAGAGTTTGTCAAAGTCTCTGATTTTTTCATTTTTGAGATGGTATGAATAAGATTTCAAATATTCAAATACTGGAGAAAGTGAAACTGACAGATTAAGGCATTTATCCTCTTCAACCATGACCACTTCTACAAACCCTATGGTAATACTAACAGAAATGCTGACTTTTTCTTACAATGAACTCTTACAAATGCCTTTCCTAATTTTAGGTTCAGATGAACTTCTCTCCCAGTTTAATCATGGTGAAAATGTAGTTCTGTTTTCACTTGCTTTTGATTGGCTTCAATGTCAGCTTGGCACATCATTATCCAACCCAATAGTAGTGTGAAGCTGCAGAAGGGGTGGACAACCTTGGGGATCTTGGGACCAATGTCAGTTTTCAGAGCATTCCAGGATAAATTTTGTAAATTTGTAAAAGGGTAAATTTTGTAAATATTACCACTAATTTGAATCTGTGCAAGTCCCCTCTGATCCACTAATGTAATCATGATTGAGGTGGAAATGGAGCACTTTAGTTTTTTTCAAATTTTCCTATACAACTACTCAAAGTTATTTCATTCCATTATACTTGTAACTGTTTGAAGATGTGACTTGCTCATTTATCTTTCTAACTTGCATGAACACCCTCATAGTTTCCCCCTTATTAATTTCTTGTTGTTCTTCTCAGGCCTCCACAGAATGATATAACATTTGGGGAAAAAGATGCAACCAAGCAACCCAGCACTGGAGGATAGGATGGAGAAGATCTCCACAGCTACCATATATTTCCCCTTGGTGCTCAGGTAAGTAGGAACAAAAGATAACCATACACTGCAAAAGACCAGCATGCTGAAGGTGATGAACTTGGTTTCGTTGAAAATGTCTGGTAACTTCCTGGCATGAAAAGCCACCATGAAGCTGATAGCTGCCAGGAAACCCAAGTAACCCAAGACACAGTAAAACATGACCACAGAGCCCTCATTGCATTCCAGTACAATTTGTTCATTCAATGAGTGCATGTCAGCATCAGGGAATGGGGGAGATGTTGCCAACCACATGGCACAAAGGCCAACTTGCACAAGGGCGCAGCCAAGCACAATGGAGATGGACAGTCTCTGCCCCACCCAGCTTCTCATGCTGCTTCCTGGCTTGGTGGCCATGAAAATGAGAACAACTGTGATGGTTTTTGCAAACACGGAAGATACAGCTACAGAAAAGGTGATAGCAAAGGTCATTTGTCGGAGGAGACATGTGGCTTTCTCAGGTTTGTTGATGAAGAGCAATGCAGAAAGGAAGCAGAACATGAGGGAGATGAGGAGGGTGTAGGTGAGGTTCTGGTTATTGGCTTTGACTATAGGAGTGTTATGGTGCTTCACAAAGATTGCCAGCACTAGAGCCGTGATCAAAGAAAGAAAAAGAGAAAAGAAGACTAAACTGAACCCAAGAGGTTCTTTGAAAGACAAGTATGTTATCAATTTCGGAATGCAAAAGTCATGGTCCTTGTTTGGATGATGGTCATTTGGACATTTGATGCAGTCCTCCATGTCTGAAGAAGAAGAAGGAGAGGAAGGAATCTCTTAGTTTTTTCAAATTTCCATTAAGGACTGTTCTTTCCAACAAATAAAAGAATACTGTGTGAAAAGGGAGAACATAATTTCATATGGGACACACCTCCCTCTACCTCACATAGCCTGCTTCTTGATGGTTCATATACATTTGTATCAAAGCTCTATACACAATGTCCCAAGGCTGACATTATTGAACAACCAGTCTGATCAGGGGCTCTTCTCCTTTTTTAGTATAGAATCATAGAATCATAGAGTTGGAAGGGGTGAAAGGGCCAATGGTTCCAGCCCCCTCCTTAGTGCAGGACTCCAGGTTAAACCAACCCTCTCAGATGAACTAATTCATTAATTTAGTTGCTTTCAGCCCAGCACTCCAAGCTATCAAGATCATTTTGAATCTTTTTTCTGTCTTCCAGGTTAGCATTTATCCCATTTAGTTTTGTGTGATCTCCAAATCTGATAATTGTTTCCTGCACTCCCTCATCCAAATCATTAATAAATGTATTGAAGAGCACTGGGTTCAGGACTGAACTCTATGGTGCCCCACATGTCACCCCTATCCAGTTTGAGAAATCAGTCCCATGGATGAGTCCAATTCTATTTGTTTTTCAGTGCCAGGCCAAGACCTTTTTATTCAAACAGTATTTTAATAGTGTTTAATATTTATAGATTTTAGTTGTGCAGCCTGTGTGTTTCTGGGTTTTAATTGTAATTGTAATTGTTTTGTATTTATTTAAATGGGATTCACTCACAGAAAGGTACCTCTGAGAATAGTCAGTAATCTTCCCTGCTACATCACACCTTGCACACCAGTGTGTTCCACCCTCTGTGTAGCTTTTTTCACCCTGGAGAAATTGCATACTTCTATACCTAGAACTAGCTCACTTCATTAATTACCATCTCCTCTCCCCATCCCCCTAGTAGGGGGAGTCCCATTCTTCTGACTGATATGGTACAAACTGTTAAAGGTGTTCACACTCTCTTTAGTTAGGGTGACTCACAAACACTTATAAATATTACTGTTATATTTCATATCAAAGCTTATAAAAATTACCTGTCGAGATAATAACTTGATATGAAGTGTTTGATGTGCCCTTGATGGGGTCTGTGCCATATTTTAAGTTGGCATGAAGCTCATTGCTGAACATACAAGTTATGCACATTAAAATATGCTTAAAATTTCATTAATTTCAATTATTTTTTATATTTGCACTTAACAGCTGTTTCATATTGTCATGTAGTTCTTTCAGATTTTTGAGAAAAATGTTAGTATACGCTATTCAGATTATTACTATTTTTTCAGAAATGTCATCTGACTTTACTGGTGTGTTCAAAGTGCCAGTAACTTTTACAGAAACTGCTGGCAAAACAATGTTGAACATGTTCAGGTTTACTCTAAAGTTATAATTCTGTCAGAATGCCAAGGTTATCAAAGGATTTTTCTTACACAGGGTATCTATGTGCAAACCTAATCCATCTGTCATGGATTATCTGGTGAGACTGTAAGTTGCTTCATGGGATAGGAAACTTGTATCAAAAGAAAGGAACTGCTTCCTGGTATCAAAGTATCCAAGGCTCAGTAAACATAGAAAGTCACATAGAAACATAAAAAGGCAGTGCTGGATCAGACCAAAGATCCATCTCATTCCGCATTCCATACACACCACGGCCACAAGCTGCCCAGAGGATCGCTCAAGTGGGATGACTGCAAGGCCTTGCCCTGCCTAAGTTCCTCATAAGTTGGTGTACGCAGGCATGCCACCTCTGGTGAAGGAGACAATGCATACCCTGCAATGCTAGTAACCACAGACATGCTCCACTTTCCATGAACTGGCCCAATCCCATTTTAAATTCTTTAAGTTTGTGGACATCACTACTTCCCATGGCAGCGCATTCCATATTTTAAACTATACATTGTGACTTGTCAGTCCTAAACTTTCCCCCAGAAATGAAGACTATGATTTAAATTTAATGGAAGGATACTTTATTACCTGAATTAAGTATTTAATTAAGCTCCTATTTGATTGCAGGAAGGAACTGGGCAATGCCTCAGAGGGTGCTTGTGCCAAAATTTTCCTGTGTCTTTCTGGCCAAATCTAGATGGGACAGTGGCATCTCTGAGACCAGCAATGATCCTGTATGGCACCTTCACTATCCACCTTCAGATGGATTAATTTCAAGATCAAAATGTCACACAGGTCTTATATGTGTTAGTTTTCCTTATTTTTTAAAAAATAGATCTATATTTACCTACATTTACACATAGAAAATTAAAAAAACCTTTAGCATATAAGCTTTGTTTTGCAAATATTTTCTCAGTAGTAACAAAATAGATATATTAAGGAAATGTCAGTACTTTTCCTTATTGATGTGCAATCTACAATGACTCTGTATGGCTGGCTGGCTGGCTGGCTGGCTGTCTCTCCCCACTTCCCTCTCCCTGTTTCTTTGCAGTAAATGAAACTTTTCCTATGCAGTTGATTACTGTTATGTTGACAATGATCTTTCCCATAAAGTCTCAAAGACCATAAAATGACTTTGAACATCTCTCACCGATATGGCTTGCAATCTTCCCTTCCGGACATAAGCTGCAATCATAACAGCAAAATGGCCTCCCCACCTTCATTTTCTTGCTATAACCAGGCTCGCAGTGCTCATTACACACTGAGAAAGGCAGCATCTAGGCCACAAAATGGGAAAGAAATAATTAAAGAATATTACAAAATATGTTTGGGAAATAGGTAGATTGTTCATTGTTCCAATATATGGAAGGTTTTCATAGGACCACAATGTCATCTAGATTCTTATTAAAACAAGCCATATGAAGGACTAGTGCTGTATGAAACATGAAATCACTGCATTGTTTTGCTGCTGTAAAAAGGAATTGAGACAATGATGTTGCACTTAGTGTGTTTTTTCAGGTTATTTGATGTTGTGAGTTTGTTACATGTTACTGGATAACATTCACTACTATCTCATGATGGGTTGAACCCATTAATTAGTCCAGTTTTTGCCTATTTCTCCTGGTAACAATTCTTTAGGTTTTCTATAATTAATTAAGATAGTCTCACCTATGGTGTCTCTATCTGATGTTGATTTATATTGATTGATTGATTGATTGATTGATTTATATCATGCCTTTTTCCTACAAAGGGCTCAAGGCAGCTTACATCCTTCTCCTCCTCCATCTTATCCCCACAGCAACGTCCCTGTGAGGTAGGTTGGACTGAGAGTCTGTGACAGGCCCAAAGTCACCCAGTTGGCTCCATGGCTGAGCGGGGACTGGAACCCAGATTCTCTGAGTCCCAGTCCCATGCTCTTAACCACTACATCACACTGGTTCTCGATTTATCCCCTTCTTACCCATCCATGAAAGTTCTCTGGATAGCAGAGGTGGGGTTGCCATGTGGTGAAATGTCCACATCTGTTTTTGTGAATCATTTTCTATGCATCTAGATCTGAATCTAACTGAATATATGAAAAATTATTAAAGTTGTAGAATAAAATTGTTTTCACCTTTTTCTTTTATAGTTTTCAGCAGCAATGTGCTGAATTCAAAAACTTTTTCAGCTCCTGGAAATCATAACCTACCTGGTTGAAGCTGTTGTGCCACATGATGGCATCTGCATTAATGCTGAAGGATTTTGCCTGAGGATCCACCCTTCCAACTTTCACTCTTTTAAAGGACTGGTTTGGGAAAGTCACCCAGTTTGTAAGATCAATTCCAGCTACCAATTCCCTGTTCAAGTCAAAAGAAATCTCATCCCCTGCACTGTTGTTAAATGATATGTGTTTTAGGAAGTGGTGGAGCTAGAAACAGAAAATAACAATTTTCCAAGAAAATGTAAATGAATAATATTCACAACTATCTCATGATGGGTTGAACCCATTAATTAGCCCAGTTTTTGCCTATTCCCGCTGGTAACAATTCTTTAGGTTTTCTATAATTTAGTGGGTTTCCTGCCCACATAACTAGATTTGAGGTGATTTCAAAACAAAACTCTAAATAAAACAGAATGAAAGGAACCAAAACTACTACTACTACTACGTATTATTATTATTATTAGTAGTAGTAGTAGTATTGAAGAGATGGTCTATTTTTGATGGGGGGGGTGTTTTGCCCCATGTTAAATGTGCTATTTTTTAAAAGGAGACATACAATATCTAACAAATTATTTTGGACATAACCTGGCAGAAGATTCTACTCAGATTTATGAGAATAAAAAACAACTATATTCATCTAATAGCATGCAGGAATGTATTCTGCATTCAACTCTCAACATGTACAATACTCAGAACAAACTATTGCTGATATCAGGACCAAGTCACACATTACTTAGAAGATGGAAGATACTGCTGGACTCTTGAACTGGATTCTGATCCTAGATTTTGAGGGGGACTGTGGAGGGATTGTATCATTTTTGGTATTTACTGTGGTTCCAGTCAAGTCCACAGTGAATTCTTTTCTCAATATCCCTTAGTAATATAGCAAAAAGTGATCTATTTCTTTTAAAGAATCATTCTTTCACAATTAAAATTACAGGCCTGAGAGCCCAAACTTGGGTTGGAATTGTGGTGGGAGGACAGAAACAGCACCCCTTACCCCATACTAGGATTGCAATCTGGATTGGACTCTGTGCACTTTAAACCCTAACCCTTTAAAATGAGAACTAAAAAGACAGCTGCTCTTCACAGTAATGTGTATTTTTGATCCCATGAAACATGGGTAACTGAGAAAAAGATAAGAGGGAGGAAGCATGAAGAACACTTTCTGGTCATTTTCTGGTCTCTTTCACCCCCCCCCCACCCCCAATCAGGTGTCCTTTCCAGATATAGACCCAGATAACTCTTGCTAATGGTCTAGAGTTACATAAAAGAAAAACGTTACACATTTGTAATCTCAAGTTGGGAATCATGATGAGTATACTTTAGAAAGAACTAACTAATCATTGCGTGCATTCTAGTTATAATTTCAATTTTTCAGGGATTGAAGCTGGTTGAGTATTAGCATTGCTCCATCCCTAATTAGGTCTTTATCATATGCTCTAGTGTCCCCAAGCCATATACTAGGATCATGAACTTGATAGATGGCTATTCACCTACTCTAAAATAGAAAGCCATTGCTCTAAAAACAATTAAAAAGCAATGTCTGGTTTGATCCTGCAAGATTAGTAGTAGATATTCATTCCTTTGTAAGTGGGATTTCTTTAGAAAGACATACTGGAAGCTGTGAATCCATGAGAATTCATTCCACTATCTTTGAATTGCCATAACTGGTGCATACATATATATTGGATACTAACATGAGAAAGAAGTCTTTCAAATTTGCCTGCTGAGGCCATTACCTGCCATGATTCTTGATCCTGAAGTTTCACCATCCCCCTTTCTTTAGGTCTGCTGGACCGCATGGCATGCAAAGTATGGGCCACTGCATAGACAGCATTGTAGATGCTGTAGCTGTGGCCAGTCATGCTCATTTCAAAAACAGGACCAGGAAGGCTTTCAAGCTTCTCCTCTCCAGTGCATGTTTTCTCAGCTGTTTCTTCAAGCAGTTTATCTGGAAGTTCACACTCAAATGTCTGCTCCCAGAAGGTCCTGACAAAACCATCTTCCTTTGTCCCCAGATGGTTTCTGGTCTGAAGAAAAAGTTGGAATCCTAACACTTCCTTAGAGTGAATGGTGAAGGCTAAAGCACCATGCATAGTTTGGATGTCCCAACTCTTTTGAAAATGGCATGATAGGAGCTCCAGCTGGACTGTTAGTATCCACACTTTACCTTTGGGCATCATTATCCCTTGTTCCATTTCTGGTAAATACAAAAACCACCTGAAATTCACTATATCTTCTTCATAGAAAATCACAGCATTAGCATTGCTTTGCATTGTAACATTATAAATGCCTGTCAACCAACCTATTGCTTCATAAATCTCATTCGTATAAATTTCCTCAACTCTTTCAATGAAGGCAAAGCAGATGTGATTCAAGGAAAACATTTTACTTAATGTCCTCACAAAGACATCACCATTCTCATCATTTTTGGCAATCACACCAACCCATATCCATTTGAAGTGCAATAGTAGCTGGAGAATCCCTGTGTGTTGATAAGTTTCCTTGGGGACCATTTGGTAAAAGGAATATGCTTCTGTTTCATCATTCTTCAGTGGAATAGAGCCATATGTGAACTATGGAAAGATTTAATGAATGGATTGAGGTGAAAGAGGGGATAAGTATTTTCCTAAATGAGATATTTGTGCTTTTGGTCTCCCCAATATTTAGGGCGGGGCAACACTCCTAAATATCAAGATGTTAAATACAGGGTCCATTAATAAAAGAATAGTATATATCAGCTTGAGCCAACATGCCCTTAAGTCATTTCTTTAATACATCAGTTGAAAAGACCAGATTTAAGGTCATATTATGTTTGGTCAAGCTCCACAAAAGCAAGGAATTGAAAAGTAACATTTATGTCTTAATAGAAATGGTGCAAAGTCTCCAATTGTGCTTTCTTCCTTCTAACTTTCCATGTACCCACACTTTTCCTAGTTTTTTCAAGGTCTAACATATTTGTGGAAGATGGAAGTTCTGTGACTAGAAATCTTCTTTGAGGTTACTCTAGTCTTGTCATAGTATATGAAGCATGTGAGGTGTAATATATTCCTAGGGTAGTCCTTTGGTGACTTGAGACATGCTACAGTTGCAAAATTTCACATCATCTCTATTTTCCCTTTACAAAACTTTGTGCACCCTTGCACACTTTTTTCAGTCAAGTCTATTTTGGATGCATGCATCCAGTGACTAAGCCATTTGTGCATATTTTACAAATGAACACCTTTCATTTTCAATCGTGCTGATGTTGTCCAACTTTATTTTCACTGTGTCTGAGATGCACAGAAAAAACAAAACAAAACACCAAAATGCCAAAACACACCACCACAATGGAGTGAATTTCTTGTCCAGCTCTTGGTAAATGTGCAGGGTTTTTATCCTGGGTTATATTTTTATAGAGGCTCAATGGGTCTCTAACCCTCCAGGAATGAGGTTTTCACAGATAAAGCCTCCTGCTTAGAAAACAGAATACCAAGAATGCTTGCTTCAATTTACCATTCTCTAAATGGTGCAGGAAAAGTGCTACAGTTATGACTCCAGAAACAAAACTGGTGTTTTCTCGCTAAATTGGTAGTCAACCTATTCCAGAATGGAATTTTCACTACTCAGATATCATAGATTATCTTCAGTGCATGCTTCCCAGTATGTTATTAGCTAAGTCTAGAGTTCTATTCAGGGCTTATTCTTGAATAGACATTCTTAGGAGTGCAGTCAGTGGAAAAACTGAGTAATGTTAGACTATGTCCTCCTTGATCTTTGTCCACCTTTGGGTAACATCTTGTATAATTTCAGTTGTGAATTACACCAAAAATGTTTCATATTTTTTATTGCTTGTACCTTTCTGATGTCTTAGAATAACAAAAGCAACAACATTGCCAACCCTATGGGTAGCAGAGGTGGGGGGAATAGTTTAAGCATATGAAGGTTTTTCATTCTAAACAAATGGAATTGCTGGCACCATCATGGCTTCAGTAATAAAATGGAGTGTGCTTTTGCTGCTGTGAACCTCTCATCACCCACCTCATTCATGGGGGAGGGGCTGAAGTGCTCTGAAATTTTCTTCTAGGATCTTGCCATACTTGCACCTATGATTGCAGTGTTAATGTTTTATATTTATGCCAGTGTAATTGTCTATAAATGTGAATGCAAGTCATTACCCTCTACATTATTGGATTATAACAATAAAGACTTTGTTCTCTAAACTAGATGCCTCAAGTATGGGGCTTCAGATTAACCTGAAAGTTCACCTCTCTAGCCCTATTCTGTTCGCTCTTTCCTTAGTACACACACTGAATCAGATCATTGAGGCATCTAACACACTATGCATTTTAGCCTCTTCTGGGGCATGGTAGACACCATACCCACTTTGATTCCTTACTAATTCATAGAATTCATCCAAATATATACAATCAGGGAAAGACGTCTAAAGATAAGAGAAGGATTGGAATGTAGCTATCTCTGGGCCAGAGGACCTGGTTCAGTAGGCAATGAATTGAGGAGGAATTGAAACTCCTGATTTGATGGAAGCAGAAAATGGGGCATTATAAATGAGGCTCCCTGACAGACATTCATATTGTTCAGATACGAGCCAAGGTTCTTTAGCTAAAGATGACCAAAGTGGTGGAAGTGGACTGAACTGCCATGTTATGACTCTTTCTCTTCAGGTTTTTCCAAGAGGGAGTGGGGTTCTGGATTTGTTGTGTATGGAAATTGTGGACTTTCTCTCACTGGAGACATTCAAGAAGTGTTTGGACAGTTATATAAATGGAATGGTGTAAGTTGGTGTCCTGCAAGAGCAGGGGATTGGACCAATTGGTTTTCTACACACTTCCAACTCTAATCTTCTATGGGTCTATGACTCTATGAAATGTAATGAATGTATGAATGCAATTAGTATAGATAGATTGAAAAATGAATCTGCTTGACCAACTCATGCAACTCCTTAATTTCCTGAATTGACACTCCTTAATTAGCACTCCTTAATTTCCTGAACTGGTAGCACAAAGTCACTTCTGCTGGAAAAGCAGAAGCCAATCAGATTCCACAAGCCATGCTCACAGACCCATATCCTACCTGTGGAACTTTGTAGGTGCCCAAGATGTTTGCTATGTGGATAGATGCTGCAAAGTAAAGAGCCCCAATGACAGCCATCAGTCTGTTCTGGATGCCACACTTATAATTTGGGATGAATCTGTTCTGCGTTGAAAGAAGTTCCAAAGTGCTATGGTAGGTCCACTGTGCAATATAGTAGCTTTCATAAATGTGGAAACCCAAGGTGATATTGGGTAAGATCTGATGGTTTTCATTGATCTCCTTCACTGCATATACCAAAGCTAAGGCATGCTGGTAGTTCTTAGACACAGCACTGCAATGAAATTGCATGTCATACATTAGGAAAATATTTTTCTTAATATTTTGAATATTTTCTTGTGTTCTATCCAAAGTATTGTTCCAGAAGATACTACCTATCGCACATTCTCAGTTAATTTAATTTAAATAGTCGGTGGCAAAAAAATGTCTGCTTACAGACATCGCATTATTAAACATTATTAAAACAAAAGAAGATAGACTGGGAGAATGGGAGGTGGGTGAGTTCAGTGAGAAAACATGTAAAGTGATGCAAAACTCCCAGTCCCAGATAGACGCTGATGGGATCTGAGCTAACAGTGAGTGATTATGAAAGAGATGCTATGCTTCTGTGAGACAGCAAAGTCAACTGAAGTTAAGGTCACTATGGAAAAGGTAAATTCAGGGTTAGGCATAATAAGTAAATTAGAATGGAATGAACCTACCATGTTATATTGCTCCTGTTAAAATCTGTGATACAGCCACACTTTCAATATTGTGTGTAGATTTGAGCACTATGTGCATCTATGCAGCTGAGTTGGGAAAAGTGCAGAAAAGAGCAATTATAATGATCAAGTCTGGCTTGAAAAGTGGAGAAGGAGAAGAGGTAGAGGTAGAGGAAGAAGAAGAGGAGGAAGAGGAAGAAAGAACTATCAGTGGTCCTGATGAATGGATGCTACTGTCCATATGAGAGACATTGTAAGCATCTCTACATTCAAAATTTAACCCACCAACTTACTGGGACTTACTCCTCTGTTTTCTTTGTGGGAGTAGACTGTGTCCTTTACAGGAGAGGGTTTTCTTTCTCTACCTTTCTGTAATTTAGCTATCTAATCACATGGTAACACTGTGGCAAAGTGCAGTATTTTTCTGGATTTCCACACCCTTTTCACCCTGAATTTGGTATTTCATGCCAGATGTCATTTGCTTTAAAGCTGTGGACATAGCTGGATATCAGAAGAGATGATAACTTCATAAAAAGGGCCTGCAAACTTCTGCAAGTGAGTGATCAGGAATGCCTCATGTCAAAAACCCCATGACCATGTATACCAGTTGCAGGGCAGGACAAATGAGAACCATTTTGAGACTTTCTGTAATAGGTTGTGATAGAAAAGCTTTAAATGACATAGAAACATAGAAACAGAGTGAGTCAGAAGGGGTCCCCCGGGCCACCCAGTCTGACCTCCAGCACCAGCCGGATCCGCTCACAACATGCCCACCAAGTGGACATTCAGCCTATCCTTGAACACCTGCACCAATGGGGCCTCAAAGACCTCTCGTGGAAGCCCATTCCACACCCTTGGGGTCCTGACAGTCAGGAAGTGCTTTCTGGCATCCAAATGGAACCTTGGCTCCCTGAGCTTTGCTCCATTGGAGCGTGTCCTGACTTCCTATGCAGGGGTGAACAGGTCTCTACCCATCTCCATGTGACATCCCCTCACATACCTGTATGTCGCCAACAGATCCCCTCTGAGTCTCCTCTTCTCCAGGCTGAAGAGACCCAGTTCCCTCAGTCTCGCTTCATATGGCATCCCCTGCAAACCGGCCACCAACCTTGTGACCCTACGCTGCACTGACTCCAACCTGGCTATACCCTTTCTGTAATGAGGAGCCCAAAACTGAACACAATACTCCAGTAAATAAATAAGTGGGAGGGAACTCGTACTTCCTACTCAGGGATTTATGTTCCAGCCCAGCTCTTCTTATTTTCATATGTGGCAATGCTAGTTCTTGTGATTGTGTTGGGAAGGTGACATTAATTTGCATGGCAAATCTCTGGAGGTCCACATAGTTTTACGGAGTGAGGCTATGTGAATTTTGTTATTCATCATGGTATAAAAGCAAACATTTAATAGGATGGCTTTCCTTCTGACAGGAAGCAGTATATAAGATATACAAACTTCCTTGAGTAATATCTCAGATAAGGAACTAAAGTGAGACTGTAAGATTATGACCTTGTATTTCAGTGTAGAATCCATTTCCACATCAGACACAACAAAGAAAGCATTTAATTGCTTGCTGTGTTCCTGTCATGACCAGGATCATTTGTAAAGAAAAGACAATGTCAATGGCAAATCATTCTAAAGCTGGAGCTAAATGAGGCATGAACTACTGCCTGTATCTCTCACACAACAGCTGGAAGTATGTCTCATTGAACTTAGCTGCGTTTATACCTGAATATGCAAGGAAAGGCTATGCTGCTAAGCTTTAAATTACAGCTCCATATAGAAAAGTTTCCTTTGGGGATATGGAAAACTTGTAATGAAATTTCCTTTTAAAGTACATGTTCAACAAGCCTAAAATGCATCAATTGGGTGATCCATCCCAGATCATAGAGCAGTATGGATCCTTTGTTCTTGCAAAACTGTACTGTACTCTTGGCTTCACACCTGTGTGGGAGTCAATGATGAGAGGAGAAGCAATTGTTTTGTCTCAAGCTGAAGAACTACACGAAGGAAAAGGAATAAAGGTGACCTCCTATACACTCTGTCTATCAAAATCAGTTCAGGCACTCTGGAGCTTATCTTAATCTGGACAGATATGCATTATGGAAAGGGATGGGAAACATTCTTACAGACTTTCTCCAATCACTTGTTCACGGGGGTATTGATTGAAGTCATGCAGCTCTTCTGGCATTATGATCTGAGAAGTGATACCACCAACTACGAAATCCCCAGATTGCAAATACTTGTGAAGAATAGTGAGGGGATCACCAATATTGCATTCAACTGTATGAGATATGGGTGCCATGCAAAGTGGTAGCAACTGCAGCAAAACCAATTCTATCAGCATCCTAAAAGCAAAGCTTGTTTCACTGTTCCCCTTCTCAGTATCTCTACACTATTCTTTGAGCCTCAAATGGTGCCCCAATCTGGACATCCATTCCATGCACATTCTGCTTTGCAGCATCCAATATAAATCTTAAAGCAATGGAAATCTGGATGATGCAACCTTGCCAATCCCCAGTCTATTAACATTTGTTGTTTGCCATTGGCCATTGATAGTGCTTTCAAGGAAAAAAAGGGTTCAATTATTGTCATTCACATAATTATAGGATGAAAGGAAAAAGTAGGTGTCTTCTCAAAGTGTTTTTGAGGATTGTGAAGTGTAAAAGAAAGCAAATTTGTTTTTCTGAAGACTTTACACCTAAAACAGAAACAGACTTAGAATAACATATAGCAAAAAATGACATGAGTAACCTAGAAGAAAAATACATCCTCCTCCTCCTCCTCTTTCTCATCCTCCTCATCATTCATCATGTTGATATTAGTAAAATACCTTATTTAAGGCAATTTCTTAAACCCAAGAAACCCCAAGAATTGCACACTCCTCAAAGTGGAGTAGCCCCAAGGGAAGAATACTTAATCATGAAAACATCATTTTATTTGCAATACAAAAATAACATCAATGGATGACAAAGCAAAAAAAGGAGAGAAATCATAACATAAATCAAAAGAACACAAAGAATTCATTAACAGCTCCATTGAAACAAGAGGAGAGGAGAGGAGAGAACTTATAAAATCCTTATTCCTTGAGTGTCTCTTCAACTGGAGACATCAAGAGGAGATTGCAGGACTGATTTTTTTTTTTTTGTCTTGGAATGCCACATTTTTATTAAACTGTCTCTTAGCGCATGACTGTTCTTTAAGATCAGAGCCTTCTTAACTGATATTTTAGCCCATAAAAGATCATGTTTTCCCTCTTCAATATCAGCCAATTCCAACTGCTATCATTGGCATTTAGAATCCAATCTGCAATATAGAGCAGACCTGCTGCACTATAATGTAAATTCACCTTGGGTACAGCAAGGCCTCCTCTCTACATTGCACCCTGTAAACTTTGGAATCTGATCCTTGGTTTGTTGCCATTCCAAATATAACTATTTCATTGTATCTGCCAATCTTGAAAAACATTTTCCAGAATTGCAATTGGCATCATGAAGAAAAGAAAGTTCAGTTTAGGGAACACATTCATTTTTACAATCGAAATTCTGTCCAACCAAGATGAGATTAGTTTAGTCCAGTTTTGTAAGTCCTTTTGAATCTTCATCCAAGTTGTTTGAAAATTGTCTTGAAAAAGTGCAGCATTATGTCCTGTGATGTTTATCCACAAGTATTTAACTGGGTTTGAAGTTATTTCACATCTTGAGATTGTTTTTATGTTTCCTTCTTGTTTTGTAATGACTTTTAATATAATGTGTGCATTTTTCTTATTGATCCTATCTCCTGAATGAAGTCCAAATTTTCCAAGTTGCCCAATATATGCTGCAGGGGTTGATGTGAATCTAAAATAGTCCAGATTATATCATCTGCATTACATTTTATTTTATACTTTATATTTTTCTCCTCCTTTTTTAAAGCCTTTGATTTTTGGATCCTGTCTCATATTTTTTGCTATGATTTCCAATGCAAGATTCAATAAAAGAGGTGATGAAGGGCATCCTTGGCATGTTCCCTTCTCCATTTGAAAGCTGTCAGCTGTCACTGCTGATTAGGATTTTCACATGTTTTCTAGTATAAATTTGCAGCATCCAATTCAAAAAGCTTGAGCCGTAGTCTAAATGTCGGAGGGTTTTCATTAGAAAAGGCCAAGATTCATTGTCAGAAGTGTACTCAGCATCTAAAAATATAAATGCAGCTTTTTTCCTTTTCTTTTTAACCCATTCAATTGCCTCAACAAAGCATATGTTGTCTTTCATGTTTCTTTTAGGGACAAATCCAGTTTGGTGTGCACAGATCTGGTTTTCATATACATTTTTTAAACATTTCTGTCATCATTAAAGTAAAAGTTTTATGATCAACATTTAATAATGAAGTAGGTCGATAAGAGTGTGGTTACATAGGATCATTGGCTTCTTTATGTATCAATGATTGGTGAGCTTCTTGACATCTTGGTGGCAGTAATCCTTCTGTTACTTGATGTTACTTGATCATTACTTGATGTAGTGGCAGAGTCAGTTTTTCCTGTAAGCATTTATAGTATATAGCAGTAAATCCACCAGGACCAGATGCTTTCTCTTCGTTCCATTTGCCTAATAGCTTGTGATAGCTCTTGAATAGTAATAGTATCATTCAATGTTTTCCTCTACTCTCGAGTAAATTTCTCAAGCCCCGTTCCTTCAACATACTTCTCCATCCCATATTCTGGGGTTCATGTTTTTATGTACCTGTGAGAAAATATTTATAACTTGCCCATGAATTTCCCTTTCTGCATATGTTGTGCCACTACCCTTCTTCATAGCTGTTATAGATATTCGTTCCACTCCTTAAGACAATACGTGAAATATCTTCCAGCTTTACTTGCTTGTTTGACCTGTTTTTGTTTTAAAAATCTTAGCTTCTTTTTTATCTCTTCCTTCACAAACATATCAACCTGATTTCTTAATTGTCTGAGTTCAGTTAAAATTAATTTATCTTGGATTTTCTTTATGTTGATCCTCTAGTATTTCTATTTGCTCCAAAAGTTGTGTGTGTGTGCACTGACTTCTCTCTCTTTTCCTTAGACATGGTTTCTATAAAGTATTCTCTCCTATAAGCTTTACTGACTTCCCAAATTATGACTGTGGAGATATTATTGGTGTTATTTAATCTGAAGAATTCTTCCAGTACTTCTGACTTGGTCAAAATATCTTCTTGTAGAGAACATATCAGATATTAAACTGATAAGAACAGATACTACACTATAATATACTATATTTATATATTGCTGTCTGACACTAACCCAACAATAACATAGCATCACTAAATTCTTCGCAGATACAATGGCTGTCTGAAGACATATCATGGGGGATTGTGGTTCTACCTAGTTGGACAAGGAAAAAGTCTGGGGTTGTCAACAATGCAAGATGACTGATATTGTGTTGAAGTATTTATTAATCCAAGTTTGGTTTTAATATAGGTTTTTTTTGTTTTTACTTTTTAAGATCTATTTATTTATTGAATGGAGCTGGTCTTTGACACAATAAAGATTATCTCTCTACTTGTAGCAAAAGATTATCACTGAGTCTGCATCTTATTCCTCCACCCTGTGTTTTCCACCATATTAGCTCTAATGGATCATGACCAGAAAGTAACTTGGGTAATCCTTGACTCCAGGATATTTGAATCCACATGTATCTTCTAACTTCAGCATTTCCATGTAGTTAAAAACATTTTTATGTACTTTACCACCTCTAGCTTTTTTTGACTTGTTGATATGTGGTTCTATAACTCCATTCATATCACCAATGATCAGAACTTCTTGAAAATACAGTATCAATTCAAAGAATTTTTCAGGAAAAAAAAAAACAACTTTTGCATCATTTGGTGCATAAAACACTGCCAAAGTATAAATTTTCCCATTTAAAAATCTCATCTTCCAGGCAAGGAACCTTCCATCTGCATCTGGAACTCAATGTACCAGCAAATTTGGAAAACTCAACAGTGGATACAGGATTGGAAAAGGTCAGTTTACATTCCCATCCCAAAGAAGGGCAATGCCAAAGAATGTTCAAACTACCACACCATTGCACTCATTTCTCATGCTAGAAAAGTAATGCTAAAAATCCTAAAAGCTAGGCTCCAGCAGTATGTGGACCGAGAACTACCAGAAGTACAGGCAGGGTTTCGAAGAGGGAGAGGAACTAGAGATCAAATTGCCAACATACGCTGGATCATGGAGAAAGCTATGGAGTTCCAGAAAAACATCTACTTCTGCTTCATTGACTATGCTAAAGCCTTTGATTGTGTGGATCACAACAAACTGTGGCAAGTTCTTTAAGAGATGGGAGTACCAGACCATCTTATTTGTCTCGTGAGAAATCTATATGCTGGTCAAGAAGCAACAGTGAGAACTGGACATGGAACCACGGATTGGTTCAAAATAGAGAAAGGAGTTCGGCAAGGCTGTATAGTGTTGCTCTGCCTATTTAAGTTATATGCAGAGTACATCATGAGAAATGAGGGGCTAGATGAATCACAAGTTGGAATTAAGATTGCTGGGAGAAATATGAACAACCTCAGATATGCAGATGATACCACTCTAATGGCAGAAAGTGAAGAGGAACTAAAGAACCTCCTGATGCGGGTGAAGGAGGAGAGAGCAACAGTTGGCTTGAAACTCAACATTAAGAAAACTAAGATCATGGCATCCGGTCCTCTCACTTCCTGGCAAAAAGATGGGGAAGAAATGGAGGTAGTGACAGATTTTTTTTTTCCTGGGCTCCAAGAACATGAGAATCAGGGACTGCAGCCAAGAAATTAAAAGACACTTGCTCCTTGGGAGGAAAGCTATGACAAATCTAGACAGCATACTAAAATGCAGAGACATCACCCTGCCAACAAAAGTGCATATAGTCAAGGCTATGGTTTTCCCAATTGCAATGTATGACCATGAAAGTTGGACGATAAGGAAGGCTGAATGCTGAAGAATTGAGGCCTTTGAATTGTGGTGCTGAAGAAGACTCCTGCGATTCCCTTGGACTGCAAGGCGATCAAACCACTCAGTCCTAGAGGAGATCAACCCTGACTGCTCTTTAGAAGGCCAGATCCTGAAGATGAAACTCAAGTACTTTGGCCACCTAATGAGAAGGAAGGACTCCCTGGAGAAGAGCCTAATGCTGGGAACAATAGATGGCAAAAGAAGAAGGGGACGACATA